CATGCGTGTGAAGAAAAAAAAAACAAACATTTAGATTATTATTATTATTTTTGTGTTTGTAACAACAACAACAACAACAACAACAACAACCACGTGGATGATAGCATAATTTTTTTTTTATATTTTTCATTGTTTATAATTTATATTAATTATTTTGTGGCTTAATTTTTATATCAAATCATTCATCACATGTTTGTTATGTTATTTTGTTAACTTGTGTTTTTGAAATTACACTAAAACCAACATTGAAACTTTTATTGTATATGATATACACAAACTTGAAAACAAACTTGGTGTGATTATCTATTTCATTTTCTATATCATAATACAATAAAATTATTCATCATATGTTATGTTAATTTGTTAACTTTGCAATTTGTTAATTTGCGTTTTTGAAATTACATTAAACTAACATTGAAATTTTGATTGTATATGATATACACAAACTTGAAAACAATCTTGGTGTGATTTTCTATTTCATTTGCATAACTACAATAAAATAAATATTTGTATTTATTATTTAATTAAATTTCGGTATATTTCGTATTTTATATACTAACATTATTAAATAATATAATTTTTTATACAAATTTCAAAACTGCTATCAATCTGACATTTTTGTTGTACACTTTGTGTGATTGTATTTTATTGTATTAAAATTAAAAACAAAAAGAAATGATATAAAAGTGTACCAAGGCGTAGTATCAATGTCCGCATTTCGTTCATGCCAAATCTAAATCGGTGCTTAACTTTATTTTATGACATAATCGTGAAACCTAGTCCTCGTTATCTTAACTTAAACATGTTCCATTTTTTTTTCTTTTTTTTTTTTTTTCCTATGAACGATTAACATGCAAACAAGATTTATTACAGTCGAATAAGTTTCCTGATTTTTGTTTTATTTGTCGAATGATTTATTCATCGGCATTAATGTTCGTCCATTTTTTTTTTTTATAGAATCTAAAAATGATCCATAGTTGTAAAATTCAAAGAGCACACGTGACGTTGTCTTGTTACGACTTTTGGCATTGCCAAAATGTACAAATTTTGACTAATTGCCAATGTGAAATGGCAAAAATGTTTTTCTTTCAACAAAATTGGCACAATTTTTCGATTGATTTTTCAACTAACTTTGACATCATATTATTTATATTAATAATTATTAATAATTTACGCAGATTTTTCATTTAATCTTTGATGACAAAATTAAATGTTACATTGATCAAATTTAACAATTATTTAATGTTTATTATTGATTAAAATAAATAACAATGAACAATTTCTTTATTGTTTAGATATCGATAATAATGGAATACTTGAGAAACATGATTTTGAGTGTATTGCATTGAAAATGACATTGATCGAAGGAAAAGGTGAATTTAATTACAACAGATATCAAGAAAATCTTCACGTGATGCTCTCACTATGGGAAGAAATCGCTGAATTGGCTGATTTTAACAAGGTAAATAATTATTATTAATATTAATAATAAATTATCTCGAAAAATACCGAGTTGTTTCGTAGAATAAAAAGTACATTTGATTGTAATTTAATTTAAAAAAATCAAAGTAAAGTGTTTAAAGTTGAAATTATTAAATTACAAACTTGTTTTGTGTTAAATTGAAAAAATTACATTTGATTATTATTTAATTAAAAGATAAAAGTAAAGTGTTTAAAGTTGAAAAAATTATTAAATTACAAACTAGTTTTGTTTTAAATTGAAGAAAAATTACATTTGTAAACAACAATAAAATGGGGTTGAAATTATAGACAAAAATATATACATATACAGGTGGGTTGAAAAATGTTGAGCTTATAACACATTAAAAAAGATAAAACAACACTAATAAACTTCCCATATAAAAGTTAGCAATGAACCCCATATAGGGGATCGTAGAAATGAATGATCAACCCATATAAAAATTGTAGTAATGAATGACCCATATTAGGTGTCGTATGTATACCATGCAATTTTACATATTTTTCGTTATAATATTTACATTTTCTTTTTGTTTAGGATGATATAGTAACAATTGAAGAATTTAAGGAAGCTGTACAAAGGAGTTGTGTTGGTAGAGATTACAGAGATTTTCCACAAGCTATGAAAATGTTTATAGACAGTCATTTCAAGATAGTTGATTTAAATGGTTGGTTTAAATCTATGTTAACAACTTGACGTTTTTCAAAATATATATGTCCTATCTATTTTTATAATACATATACATATTTAATACGGATGTTATATATATGTTATATATATATATATATATAACTTATATTTTCTTTCAGACGATGGTGTCATTGCTGCAGATGAATTTCGTTACAATTGCGTTACAAGAATAGCCGTGGACAATGTTAATATTCTTGATGAAGCTTATCAAAATCTTCTCAATGTAAGTTTGTTTGTTTTATTTTTTTTTTATTTTTCTAAATAATTATAAACAAAATGAATAATATGTTTTGTTTTTTTTTTTTTTTCAAATGAAATTATTGATACAGGATGACGATAGAAGACGAGGTGGTTTAACATTGTCAAGATATCAAGAATTATACGCACAATTTTTGGGTAATCCTGATGAAAATTGTCCTGCTGTTCATCTATTTGGTCCTTTACATGAATTATGTTAACAAAATGTTCTTCATTATGTTTAAAATGATCCCTATTTTTTATTTTCTTTTCTCTTCATTTACAAAAGACAAACACACTGGTGTACAAGGTATTTCATAATTTTTAATTGTAATTTATAATTTGTAATTTATAATGGTTGTGTTTTTATCACTTTAAGAATTACTTTTAAGTAAATATATATATATAATATGTTATATTTATTTATTTAAAAAAAAAGAAATAAAAAAAAACAGAAGTATAATGCGTTTGATGAATGAAGGTGTAAAGACAAAAGAAATAATAGAAATAATTATCAACAATCTGATACAAACAGGAGAGAATTTATTCTTCTTTTTGTTTTTTTTTGTTTTTTTTTTTTTTTTAAACAGGTGTGTCAAGACAAGAGACAATTCTCTCTCCGTTTATTTAGCTTTGGTAGGTACAACCCTTAACACACGTTGTTACTTTGATGTCCATTTGATATATCCTTATCCACCATTTTTTTTATATATATATATATATATTTCAGGTTATGTATTTGCAATTGTTGATCTCAAAAACCATTAATGATATGCAGTCTGTTTAAAAAGGATTTATACATTGTTTTAAAAGCGAATCCAAATATTTTATATACTCGTATGTTTTTTATATCTTTTTTTTTTTTTTCTTTCCCCCTCCACTTCTTAGTTTTTCTTCTCTCGTGAAAAAGAGATTATCATCCAGCCGACACACACACACACACACAAACATTTATAAATTGGATTTGCAATAATATCTTGTTTGTTTGTTTGCTTTTTTTTTTCTCATACACATTGATTGTTGTTTAAATACTTTACATAGAATATTGAAATTTACGCATCTAGCAAGAAGGATTAATCGTCAACAAGATTTACAAATTTCAATGACAATTAATATTATAATATACAGTAGTAGTCGTTGAATTCTTTTCAAGAATCTCATTCTGAAAAGTTTCAACAACTTTTTCTTTCTGTTGCATGTAATATATATATATATATATATATATATATATATATATATATATATATATATATATATATATATATATATATATATATATATATTTATAATATATACTTTGATTTTTATTTTATATTCTAGCAATATAGTTTTTATTTATTTTGTCCCTTTTAAAACGCTGTATCGGACTAACAATTGTTCATTTCTATTGGAATTTTCTTGTTTTTTTGTTTTTTGGGTTAACAAATAAGTTTTCTTCTTATTATTATTGTTATGCTGTTTGTCTCGTTGTTGTTATACAGTAGTATAAAAGTTACATTGGTTTTTTTTCTTTTTTTTTTTTTTTTTTCGTATAAAATTTATATTACTTAACTTGATTGTGGAAAAAACATTTTTACAAATTGTTGTTTCTATTAAAGGAAAAAAAAAAAAGAAAAAAACACACACATCACGAATACTGTATAATATTTATATATATATATATATATATATATATATATATATATATATACTCGTGCAAGATTTGGATTATACTATTGAAAAATTCGGACTAATGTTTATCACCATTTACAACCAAACAATACTGTAATAAAGTCATTTTTTTTTTGTTTTGTTTCTTTTTTCTAATGTTTATCGCAAATAAACAATTATTGATTAATTGAATAATTAAATTTACTTGCTAAAGAACAAAATATTAATTATAATTGTAATAATAATAATAATAATAATCTTACATATTAATACCAACGATCATCACATTAATGAAAAATGGTTCACGTTACATGTTATTATTATCATCATCAATGAAAGCTATTATTATATATTGAAGTTTTTGTAATAATATCGGATATATTGTTCATAGTAAACAAAAAATAAATCACAAATATAAAAAAAGAAATAATAATAATAATAATAATATAATTATTTAAAAGAAAACAAAAAAAAAACAACATATAAATTATATAAACTTAGTCATGGTATTTCTCTTCTTTTTTTGTTAATAACGATTAATTAAACTTTGTTTTACCTAAATTAAGGTAAAAACTATATTCAATCGTTTATACTGGTAATATTATTAAAAATAATGAATAACTTGATTACTTTTAACATTATATCCGATATATATATATATTAAATATTAGGTGAACCAGAATGTAATGTCGCTTTCTAACCTTAAATTCAAACATCAATTTTGAACAAGTTCTTATTTTTAATCAATAACATAATTAATCTCATTAATAATGATTTGTTTTCATCTATTATGTTAATTTTTAATACTGGGACTGATTTATAATTCGATTTTTCAATTAAAATATCAAAATATACATGAAAACGATATTACTTTTCGGGCTCCTTCCTAATAATACCCTTTGCAAATGAAAAAAAATACTAATACAGTTTGTTTCAATCAATAATTCATTTTCAGTTTGCAAAAGAATGAAAAATATGTGAGACAGATTATTTTCATGCTTAATTATTATACGGATATAATATAATATAATTAATTTATTTTAATACAATCAAATAATATAATCTAATTATAAGTATCGAATACTTTCATTCTCCATTTGTTATTTTTACAGAACATATTTCGCGATAATTTGTTTATTATTTTTTTTTTTTTATTATTATTATTATTATTTGGAGATCACGTTGTATTAAATTAGATGTATTTTTCTCTTTACTTTTTTCTAATTTCAATTACGGACGGCAACATTTGTTTGGACAAAATATAATGTGAGAGCATCTTTGATGTTACACATAATTCTTCTTTTCTCCATATTATTTAACACATATATTATGATCCAAATATTAACATAATAATTAACACACTATCGGCGAGTTGAATATTTCTACCCGTTCCACAGACTGACACTGGTCGGCGGGTCACGTATTAATACGTTTTATACAGAACGTAAGCTAAGTTTCAATAAAACACTTACTAATGCTTGTGTTTTTTTGTCATTGTC